GGGGGTGGGGGTGGGTGGGGAGGGAGGGTGTTTGTGTGCGTGCATATTGCATGCATGCGTGCGTGCGGGCTATGGGAGCGGGGACAAATAGGCGCCCTAATTCCCACCACCTCAGTTCCTTCCCATCAACATTCCCCCATGCACCCCCACCGCAGACGCATGTGACAAACTATGTCCAGATCGGTGGCATCATCATAGGCATGCTGCTGTTTGGAGCCCTGGGTGACTTCATGGGGCGCGCCTGGGGCAGGTGGGGGAGCACGCGCGCACGAGTGAGTATGTGTGTGTGTGTGTGTGTGTGTGTGTGTGTAAATAGAAGAGATAGTGAGAGGGAGATAGTGCGTGTGAGTGCGTACACATGTGCTTTGTGTGTGACACGCAAGCTGAATGCGTAATTGTAGACGCCTGTGATTGCTCATAGAGTTGGACACGTTACACAAGCCCTTGCAACCCCAACCTGATCTCTTGAGCCGCGTTGCGGCAGCCGTAACGCTCACCGCACCCTTGCACAACCCACATGCGTCACACACACACACACACACACACACACAAACACATACGCGTATGCACACACACGTACACACACACACACGTACACACACGCATCGCATCCATGCCTATCCCCAGCGCCGTGTCCCCACCCCCGAACGCACCCCCACCTCCAGCCGCATCGTGGCGTCCATCATGCTCAGCGGCTCTATCCTGCTGGTGATGTCACCCCTGGTGTCAGACCCACTCACCTACCTCCGCTTCTTCATCTTCGCACAGGTGGGTGAGACGAAATATACATAATAATTCACTTTCATGTGCATGTGTGCAGGGTTGCGGGATATTGGAGTGTGGGGACGATTCCTGGGTTTCGTGTGGGACCCTGTGGGCGCATGTGGTGGGGTGTGCAGGAGTGGAGCGAGGGCGAGCCGCCCCCAAATCGGCTCGATGGACAGGGGAACAGGGGCAGCCGCGCCCCTGTGGTTTGAAGACCTCCCATCTGCCAACCCCCGTACCATCCCCAGACGTTCTATGGTTTTGGAGTCGGCGGGGAGGTGAGGGCCGCAGCTGCACCAGACATGAGTTTGGATTCGGGCTTGCCGCTTGCACTGGGGAGTGCATAGGGCATCTGTGTTGGCATGAGTCACTCAGGACCGGATTTTGGACTGGATCAGACGTCAGAAATCACAGAAATTTGCGCACCTGAGGCAACCCAGACGTGCAGACCTGCTCTGTGCGGCTGGCTGTCCGTGCCGCCCGTCCCAACTGTGCCAACCGCTGCAACTGCTGCAACTGCTGCAACCGCCGCAACCCAACCGCGTGCAGTACCCGATGGCGTCCAGCTCCGCCGCGGAGCGCTCCCAGAGCGACCCGGCCCTCAGGAACCGGCGAGGCGAGCAGGTCGTGCTGACCTTCTCCCAGCAGGTGCGGCGTTCAATCCCAGGCATGGGCTTTTTGTTTTGAGGGGGGCCGGGCCGATGGGATGTGATGGGAGGGCGGCCAGGTGGCCGGGGGAGGGCGGGCCGCGCACTGGACGGTGCGGCAGCGGCGTACTGGGCGCGTGCCGCGGCCCCTGCATATTGGTGCGTCCTCGCCTGGCAAAATCAAGACCAGGTCAACGGGCGACTGCGACTGCGACGCGCGCGCAGCCAGGGAGCAGATCCAAACAGCCCGCTGGCCCCGAAGCTACGCAAGCACACCGCACGCGCTCGCCCGCCCGCCCGCCTGCGGCCGCTCGAGCACATGTTGCCGACACCGCGTCCCTTCCAGCTGCAACCACCATGATGGCATTTCTGAATTGCAGGGCATGGGCAACCTCGTCAACGGCTGCGTGATCTTGATATTCATGGTGATCTTCGCCCAGACCGGCAAGAGCCTGGAGCCCACGCCCTCCCGCAACATCATAATGCTGCAGGTGGGTGGGCGGCAGGCGCGACGCACTTGAACATGGCGGGATCTGCGAGATGTGTGGGGAACGTTGGCCCCGTCAAGTTCAGTGTCGCGTGCGCACCACCTCGCGCCTGCTGAGCCCCCCATCCTGCTGAGCCCCCCAGCACCCTCATTTCTCGCTCTCCTCCGTCCCCCTGTTTCTGCCCAGTTTGCCGCAGCGGCCGCTGTCAGCGTGTTCATGGTGCTTTGGCGCTATTTGAAACTCAAAGAGTCCGAGGTAACTGATTGCTTGCAGGGGCACAGTGTGTTGTTGGGGTTGAAGAAATTATACATTTGGGTTTCGGCGCCAAGCGTTGCACTTGCTGGAGGGGGGCTGCGTGAGACATAATCGCAGCCATTGTGATTATGGTGGGGCTTACAGGTGCGCTCAATATAATTCGCAATCATCTCTCGTCATCGGCTCACATGATTGACATGCTTGGAGGAGGGTGCTCGCCCCCTACTCCCAGCCTGCCACAGTCTGCGTGTCCGTCCTGCCGTGCACGGCCACCTTGACGCACATCTTCCCTGTATCAGCCCCAAACTGATCACTGAGATACCATGACACACTGTGACGTCATCAGGTCTGGAAGGCAGAGCGCGAGGACGCGCTGGAGCTGACGGCCAAATACGAGCACCAGCAGGTCGGTTGACCGCGTTCGTACTGAGTGGTGCAATCACACATGCGGGCAGCTGGATATCTGTGGCTTGGAGTTTTGTCGGTAAGGGAGCTAGCATCGGGTTGAGGCCGGCTGGGGGCAAAGCAGCTAGGTTGAGTGAGAATTGGGGTGTCAGGGGAGCGAACAGGCTGATTTTTAGCCCCGGCTGGAGCCAACATGATTTCCACCGCTCGTCGCAGCCGCGGGTACCACCGGCCGGCCCCCACGCACCCTGCCGTTCAAACGTATGCGAAGCCAGACCTCCGCCCAGTCCCACTCACCGCCTGCAACCTTCACTCCCCCCCCTCTCCCCACACACATGACGTCATCGTGACGTCACCAGACGTCCTTCATCTACCGCACCGCCCTCAAGCGCTTCTGGCCCCGCCTCCTGGTGACGTCACTCGCCTGGGTGGCCAACGACGGTGAGCTTCCAAGTCTGCGGTGTACTTTGATACCCAGGACGCAGTCGATGTCCTCGATTCTGTTGGCAAAGCATCAATTGCTGACCCAGCCAAGCTCCTGTTCCTGTTGGCACACGCACCTGATCCCCAACCTCCCAGGAGCCTTCTACGGCAACAAGCTCTTCCAGTCCAAATTTATAGAGGCCCTCTACCCCAACGTGAGGTCCTGCGCAGCAGAGGCCGGGCCGGGGCTGTCATCAAAGGGGCGGGGGTCGAAGGGCGGGAGCCGGGTGCAGATGTGTGAGGCCAAGAGGCGCTGCAGGGACTGAGCCGGGACTGCGTTCCAGGGGTCCGGGGGTCTGGAGGTCACGGGGCAGGCAGGTCTCAGGCCAAGAGGGGTGTGGGCCGCAAAGAAGTGTGACCCGGCGCACCTCGGGCCCTTTCCCCTCCTCCTGCCCTTGCCACACAACGTGTGACGGGTCAACGCGGGTCATGGCCGGTGGGGGCCGCATGTGCGGGCATGGGAGGCGGTTTAGTCGCCTGAACGTCCTCTCGGCGCTCCACCTCTCCTTCCCCGCACACACGCACAAACGCGCCCCTCCCTCCACGCGGCCCCAACTCTCGTCTTCTCAGCTCACCGCGCAAGCCACCACAGTACAAAATCCAGAAACTTGTGTATTTCTTACAGTCCTTGACCTCTGCCAACTTCCCTGAACATCCCTCGCCCCCCCCCACCCACACACACACACACACACACACACACACACATCACCGCTGCCCATCCCCCGCCTTTGCAGTCCACGCCGTTTGAGCGCATGCAGTGGACTGTGCTGAACAGTGCTGTGTCACTTACGGGCTACTGGGCGGCGGCGGCCCTCATTGACAAGCCCTGGTACGGCAGGAGGTTCATGCAGGTGCGCGCGTGCGTGCGCGCGCGCTCGCGCGCGCGTGTGTATGTGTGTGTGTGTGTGTGTGCGCACGCGCGCGTGCGCGTGCGATATTTTTTTGCACTCATGTGTGAGTACGCGTGTGGTTCCACACATGTGTGAGTTTGTGTGTGTGTGTGTGTGTGTGTGTGTGTGTCTGGGTTGGGCCAGGAATACCCATGCAGCCTAAGTGGAGGGTCCCTTTTTCACCTTTGAAGGCTCTGGCCCGTGCAGTAAAGGGGGGTAGGGCAAAAGAGGGGCAAGCAGAAAGCTGATTAAGGGGAGGGACAGGGCGCGGGGTGCAGGGG